GTAGAGTCACACTTGCCAACCTTTCACCTTGGGTCCCAGTGTTTGAGGTTCGGTAGAGTCACACTTGCCAACGTTTCACCTTGGGTCCCAGTGTTTGAGGTTCGGTAGAGTCACACTTGCCAACGTTTCACCTTGGGTCCCAGTGTTTGAGGTTCGGTAGAGTCACACTTGCCAACCTTTCTTCTTGGGTCTCACTGTTTAAAGTTTGTAAAGTCACACTTATCAACCTTTCTCCTTGGGTCCCAGTGTTTGAGGTTCGGTAGAGTCACACTTGCCAACCTTTCACCTTGGGTCCCAGTGTTTGAGGTTCGGTAGAGTCACACTTGCCAACCTTTCACCTTGGGTCCCAGTGTTTGAGGTTCGGTAGAGTCACACTTGCCAACCTTTCACCTGGGATTCAGCTGTTTGAGGTTCGGTAGAGTCACACTTGCCAACCTTTCACCTTGGGTCCCAGTGTTTGAGGTTCGGTAGAGTCACACTTGCCAACCTTTCACCTGGGATTCAGCTGTCTGAGGTTTGGTAGAGTTACATTTGCCAACCTTTTTCCTTGGGTCTCTCTGTTTAAGGTCTAGTAGAGTCACACTTGTCGATACTTACAATACTGGGTTAAGTTTGAACTTTAGATGAAAATGTTTGTGGTTGATGTCACGTGTAACATCGTTACTGGCGTGAATATCTCATTGATAAAAACTTTTTTTTATAGAAATTAGCTACTTGTATTCTCATGTTGTCACAACATTAATTTGAATTAAGGTAAGGGTCAAAGATTTACATATCTTCTTTGGTGCAGTATGATGACACATTATATAATAACATAAACAGTTTATGCCACATTAGATAATAACATAAACAGCTTATGCCACATTCTACATTAAAAAACAACAACTTAAGTAGGAGTAATTCAAATAAAAATTAAACAGGTCATGGCAGAAAGAAAATACTCGGTTAGTGGGCTTATTTAGAGCTAAGCTACATCAGGCTACGGGGAATCGAAACCCAGCTTTTAGCGTTGTAAGTCCGTAAACTTACCACTGTCCTAAATGAGGACTATTTGATTAGCTCAGCAAACTCTGCACCATCCCGGAGACGGGTCTCATCAGGAACGAAATTTCTTCTGCCATTTTTTTTTTTGTTTCAGTTCCAACAAAACAAAGGAAATAATAATAATGTTATTTGATTAAAACAGTCGCTATTATAGAGTAGTCTAAAGTCATTTTGTGTAAAGGAATGGTGGTTTGTAGAAACAACAATGATTAATTAAATCATCAACACAAACAAATCCACGAGTCGCTACCTCATCTCGTACCCGGGCAATATTCGTTTGGAATGGTCTCCTCGCGCAGACGCGCTCTTTGCATTATTGTTTTTCTTCTAAACGTGGGCTTTTGACAAATAATAACAGTCACGCATGAAGATCAATAATGTCGTGTTCAGCACTAACAGTCTTTAATACCCTTTGATGTTTGTTGTTGTTAAACATATTCTCTACCTGTCTAGACTGTTGGACTCGTCCGACTGGTTGACTGTTCTAGCAGACGATGAATAGGAACGTACGCTAGCGCCAAGGTTAGTATGTGCTTCTATAGTAACCTTGTGCTAGCGCCACCTAACCAACGTCAAAATTAAGGCACTCTTCACAAAACGAAGTAAGAGATACGTGAATCTGAGTGCACGTGCGTTGGGTATTAGAAAACCGATCTAATCTCTGGTGGCAAGTGTGCATTTTCTGCCTGTTCTGCAGTTCTCCACTTTTAAACCGATGGTATGTTTAACTTTTAAATTGGATATATTACAATAGCTACTGTTTTGATGGATTTGTTACGGTTTATTAGTTCTATACTAATCTATATTTTCTATGTGATAAAGGGCCTACTTATGCAATATATGCTAATTGTATCAACTAAATTTATTCATAATGCCTTTGTTAAATATCCTAAAACATATGTACTAAATCAGGAAGGTTGAGTACGGGGTTGAGGGAGGGTACAATGTTAAAGTGATAAGCTTAGATAATATTTTGCACTTCAGTTTGCGATCATTCTTGCGGTGGATCTGATTATAAGTTTAATTAAAAAGAAATAATAATAATTCAGGGGATACATACCCCCAACTACACTTTCACGTGCAACGACGCCAAACACTGGAACAGTAATATAATTAACATTCTTTTTAATTAAGGTTTAATTATTTGTTTTTCAACAGTTTGAACGCCGATAGTTCGAGAAGCAACGAAATCCGTAGGCCTAACATCCATAATAAAACACGTTAACTGCAGACTTTTTTTTTACTTTTTACATCCCTTTTAATTTGCCCATTACGCATTTCACATCAGAGGGTGTGAAAATAACGCCACCAATTTAAATCTATCTTTAGTCTCTTACAAGTTACTACCCAGTAGGCCTTTCGTTTAATACTCGATCTCGTCCAAAATCACATCATTAAAGTTCCCATATTTGCAATATTGTTGGCATTATAATATATATCACTGCTGCGAAAAACAGTATTTGTCTTCAATAATACACTAGAATATCTGTCTTCAATAATACACCAAACGTACTTCCGCAGGGTAGCCGCAATTATTCTGTTTCAAGAGTAAATGAAAGCAAAATTAAAAGTAACAAACATTTTCATTTCTTGCTTCTAAAGTTCGTATGTTATGCTGTGTTGTAGCCTATAGAGTGCATAATTTTTCTCGTGATGCATGGCATTCACACGTTTTACTGACGTCACGACAGTACAAATTCCAACGTTAAGCGTCCCTTGTGTAACGTCATTTTAGTGTCTACTGACTGAGTGACAGACAACACACTAATGTATAGTGGTGCGAGTAGTTAAAACAGGTAACCCCTCCAGGCGGCTTTCGGCTCCCCTTTTGGGGAAATTACTGGTGAGTATTAATTGCATCGCTACGCGATTATACACGTCTGGAAGTACTAGTTAATACAGCACACATGTGCCACGAGCCAAGTTTCGAAAGAAGTGGAGTTCCCATGCCAATATCCTTTTTTCTCTCTCTTAGATTCTATTTGAAATACACAAGTCTTACCTTCAGTTGCGAGTAGTTAAAGCATCTGTCAACTGAACAGAATATTAACGACATACCGTTTCTTCTTTAACTAACTTTAACTGTATAATCTAGTTTTAAAACGCTTCTAATGCTTTTAATAATACTTTCATTTATCAATCGTATCGGCCCGGCATGGCCACGTGCACGTGGTTAGGGCGTTCGACTCGCAATATGTGGATCGCGGGTTCGAATCCCCGTCACACCAAACATGCTCGCCCTTTCAGTCGTGGGGGCGTTATAACGTGACGGTCAATCCCACTATTCGTTGGTAAAAGAGTAGCCCTAGAGTTGGCGGTAGGTGGTGATGACTAGTTGTCTTTCCTCTAGTCTTACACTGCTAAATTAGGGACGGCTAGCGCAGATATCCCTCGTGTAGCTTTGCGCGAAATTCATAACAAACAAACAACAATTAATCGTATCCAGTGGCGTAACAACAAAAATTGGGCCCCCCTACATTTATTACCCCATCGGCAGTTCTTAACTTGGTCAGGTCTTTCGTTCCCCCTTTTGGCTTGGACCCCCCGCAATTGTGGGGGCTGCAGGAGATTACTCACGCCACTGATCGTATCTCTTATCCACGTAAAGGAAACTTTGTTTGTTTCTTAGAATCATTCGCTCAATGTTAAATGGGCTATCTGGGTATAGCCATCCTTGAATTTGAGCTAATAAATTGGAGAGAAGATGGGCATTCAATAAATAGCCCCTCTCCTCGAACCTCTGAGCTACTGGTATCTGACTGAGTAATGGGATTTGACCGCACCCACGGCTCCAAAGTGCGGAATACGTTTTTACGGCAAGGAGACACGAACCGTAACCCTCGGATTCACAACCAGAGCACGCTAATCACGTAAAAACCTTTCACATTGCCCAACTTTTCCTTGTCTCTCACTCGCGTTATTGATAGAGAGATATTTAGAAACCGTTTAGAGAAACAAAGTTCCCCAAGATCACGAGTTGTTTATCAGTTGTTGTTTGAAGTTAAGCACAAAGCTACACAATGGGCTATCTGTGCTCTGCCCACACAGGTATTGAAACCCGGTTTCTAGCGTTGTAAGATTTCACAGAACAGCAGAGATAGAATAGAATGTTAATATTCTACAATAAACATTTGACAAAAGGCACCAATAGTAATAATAATAATAATAATAACACAGTCACATGCTACCGTTTCTTTCAACAAGTAAAAATATATTTTTATGTTTTTAATAAAATAAAAGTTTCTTGTCAAAGTAGGAAAAGAAATTCAGCAACTTGTTTGATTGTGATTTTCCCTTAATAAAATTTTCCCCAGTCTGTTTCCTTACAAGTGCCGTTTTTTTAATAGTGAAAATGGTTTTATTGTCTTGACATTTTTACATGTTCTACAGTAATTCCTGTAAGCTGAATCCGTAAATGATATCCATTTTTCTCCATCGCGTACAGATTTTACACGAAACGTCATATGTACTTTTACATACGTGAATCATTTTCATTGAAATCGGGTCACATTTTACTATGCTTAAAATGTTGACTACCACTGGCTATAGATTTCTCTAGAACAATCGCGACGCGAGAGTCTTATCGATCGTTCTAGAACCCACGAGAAACACACCGCTTGTATATAAACGGTTAACAGGCCGTATGATGGTATTTGTTTGTGCGTGCACTTTGACATTATTTTTTCTTTTCAATATTATTTATTCGTCGCTATGACAAC